AATTACACATAATCTGCCCAACTTGTAACTGCTGACCTATAAATCTCTGAAATGAGGAAAACAGATGGTCAGTGTGTGTGTCCATCTGGCCACTGGTCACTCGGTGCTCTGACCATATGGGAAGACCATTGCCCTCTCACTCACTGTATACCTACTCTCAGACTCAAACAAGTGCCCACTTGGTCAGGAAAATACATTGCCTCTGTCGTGAAAAGAGCTTCCACCTCAGAAAGATTACCATTGTAGAAATGTATCTACCAAGTGGGACAAGTTGATGGAGAGTTAATCTTTGAGAGACTGGACAATTATGTCAGTCCAGTTAAATTCTCCATGTTAAATCAAAAGGTATCCTACAACGTGTTAAACTATGCCAGTAAATATTAGGACTGTATTGAATACACAAAGCGGCCAATGTGATTTGCATCATGAATATGACCATGAATAATTTTCATGAATACCATACATTCTTGCATATAATTTAAAGAGGGGTGTGCATTATACACTTAAACAATAAACTGTGCTGTTTTTCCCAAAGCTGATAAAATACTGCAAGCACAAAGAACCGAAAACTTCCTGATAACAAATCCGTACCGATGTCTACAAATTAATCCTGTTATTACACTTTCTGATTATAAAAAGTGTTCATTGTACATCTGGCTTTATCTTTTTATTCTAGTTTATTAATTTTATCCAAAATTTTATTCAATATTCTTTACATAATAAGGTGACTGATATGTAAACTCATCGGCAGATCGACCAACTCACCATTATTACAGCAACCATTGAGAGTTTACTGCTATTGAAGATTCGAAACAAACCTTGGTACATATATCATAAATGCCATACTTTGGCTTGTGAAAAGTCATTGTTGTTGTTAGTGGACTTTTGTATGTCAGTAGGTTGTTTTCGCAATCACAAAAGAAAAAACGCGGGACTCCTTCATGGCGTGATCGCTGACAGATTGATCTCAAACGTTGACTCATCAAATGTAAAAAATATCACCGATATCAAAGAGCTACACCTATGATTTTTTGTCGCCTAATATATGTTGTAAAAGCAGCTGCTAAAATAACAAGAAAATAACACCTGGTACAATAAATAATTTGATATATAATTTCTTCAGATCAATGTATGAAAATTCTTTTGAGCTATTATACTGGATATTTTATAACTGAAGAGTAGAAGTGAAATGAGTGTACAGCTGATTGCTATGAGATATGGACATTGTACAAACATTACTTCCTTGTCATAGATGCTAATACAACTGAGTTTGTGGGCTTTTAATCAACAATTGAATGATGTTTTGAGTTTTGAAAATAATTGGTTAAAATGGTTGCAAATACCCGACACAGGTCAAACACTGATCATTTTCAACTAACCAAGTGATTTATAACAGCCCTCGTAATTCTATTGGTATAAAAACACATGGTGAGTGAGTGAACGAGTGAGTGAACGAGTGAGTGGATGGCTGGGTGAGTGAGTGAGTGAGTGAGTGGATGGGTGAGTGAGTGAGTGTAAGGGTGAGTGAGTGGATGGGTGAGTGAGTGAGTGAGTGGGTGAGTGAGTGGATGGGTGAGTGAGTGGATGAGTGAGTGAGTGAGTGAGTGAGTGAGTGAGTGAGTGAGTGAGTGAACGAGTGAGTGGATGGGTGAGTGAGTGAGTGAGTGAGTGAGTGGATGAGTGAGTGAGACAGCATGCAATACATGTTGAAGATGAACTGAAACATAAATTAATGTCTACAACAGTTTATGCTAAAAGCCAAACTTAAATGATCCATTACTTAAACTTAAATATCCTCATTATATATAATCACATACCAATGTAGATCAGATCAATACCCATGACAGATTACAAAACATGTACAAAACAAATAAATTTCTTGAAACTAGAGCAGACCTGCAGATCAATATCACTCAATTCAAAAAAGATCGATCATTAAGACTAAACTTTTCATCAAAGATACTATAATTCATTTCAATCCTTTGACTTTACCAAAACACCATCAATCTTCATATTGCTCAACACATGCACAAACATACGGTTCCAAGAAAGATAACCCTTTGTTTGTCAAAATACCATTTCATCTTTTTTTTCGATACATGTCAATCGAAACAACCCCTTAATTCTATGAAGTGAGTTTGATTTCCATCAAGTGGCTTTAAAGGAATAAAATGACCCATGATCGCAGTATCATTGTTTCACAAACCCCTGAAAACAGATTAGGACCAATTCAACAAAGCGTTCTATCTTGCCGGTACCTCTTCAGAGTGATAACACGGCCAGCAGGACTTTAGGTCACACCTCTGAAACCTATCTATATCAAACGCATATCCTACTTGTGGACTGTAGCCTTGCAGAGTTTCCCCGGCAACGCTATGTAACTGTTACAGTTAACCTGACAAACTTTGACAAATGTTTGAGAAGATTTCAGAATTAAACACTGACAAAGATAAGTTAAACCCTGGGGTATTTTACATCAAATTAACGCCAATTACATCCCTCTGTCCTAACTGTGTGAAAGTCCATTTTAGCAGTCAGTACTTGTGAAAAAAGCCAATCGGCACATCGCGGTAGCCATGGCGTGTTGGCGTGTTTGCACAGGTGATGGACAATGCTCTAAGAACACAGAAAAATATTTAGATAGTAGCATAACAAGGCACTCTATGGTCAATATTTATTTGCTTCCTTGAAAAATGCAAATATTCATCTTTGTGCTCATCTTGCCGCCAGCCACTGAAGCAGTCAATGATTATTTCACAGTTTTGTCAATATGTCAACATTGGAATGGAAGTTGACAGGAACAATACGATATATTCCTAAGAACTTATTAATACAATTTTAAATTTTATTTTTCAATGTTTCTGATAAATATTGAAGTAGAGAAGCTACTCCCCTACTACTACTTCAAATGCTTGGGCGCTGAGAGTTTTCCTGAAAGTATTTAACATTCAATTGCTTTACCTATGCCACAGTTTGACAGTGCCAAAATAAATGTGTTGTGTTTATGACTGTTCAAATGTGCATGTGTTGATTAGACAAACATTGTAGCAATACAATCCTCATCTCACTGTATACATAGCACCATTGTAGCCATACAATCCCCATCTCGCAGTATACATAGCACCATTGTAGCCATACAATACTACATCTCACTATATACATAGCACCATTGTAGCCATACAATCTCCACTCACAGTATACATAGCACCATTGTAGCCATACAATCCCCATCTCACAGTATACATAGCACCATTGTAGCCATACAATCCCCATCTCGCAGTATACATAGCACCACTGTAGCCATACAATCCCCATCTCACAGTATACATAGCACCATTGTAGCCATACAATCCCCATCTCACTATATACATAGCACCACTGTAGCCATACAATCCCCATCTCACAGTATACATAGCACCATTGTAGCCATACAATCTCCACTCACAGTATACATAGCACCATTGTAGCCATTCAATCCCCATCTCACAGTAAACATAGCACCATTGTAGCCATACAATCCCCATCTCACTGTATACATAGCACCATTGTAGCCATACAATCCCCATCTCACAGTAAACATAGCACCATTGTAGCCATACAATCCCCATCTCACAGTATACATAGCACCATTGTAGCCATACAATACTACATCTCACTATATACATAGCACCACTGTAGCCATACAATCCCCCTCTCTTCTCACAGTATACATAGCACCATTGTAGCCATACAATCTCCACTCACAGTATACATAGCACCATTGTAGCCATACAATCCCCATCTCACTGTATACATAGCACCATTGTAGCCATACAATCCCCATCTCACAGTATACATAGCACCATTGTAGCCATACAATCTCCACTCACAGTATACATAGCACCATTGTAGCCATTCAATCCCCATCTCACAGTAAACATAGCACCATTGTAGCCATACAATCCCCATCTCACTGTATACATAGCACCATTGTAGCCATACAATCCCCATCACGCAGTATACATAGCACCATTGTAGCCATGCAATCCCCATCACGCAGTATACATAGCACCATTGTAGCCATGCAATCCCCATCTCACAGTATACATAGCACCATTGTAGCCATACAATCTCCACTCACAGTATACATAGCACCATTGTAGTCATACAATCCTCATCTCACAGTAAACAAAGCACCATTGTAGCCATACAATCCCCTTCTCGCAGTATACATAGCACCATTGTAGCCATACAATCCCCATCTCACAGCATACATAGCACCATTGTAGCCATACAATCCCCATCACGCAGTATACATAGCACCATTGTAGCCATACAATCCCCATCACGCAGTATACATAGCACAATTGTAGCCATTAAATCCCCATCTCACAGTATACACAGCGCCATTGTTGCCATACAATCCCCATTTCCACTCACAGAATACATAGCACGATTGTAGCCGTACAATCCCCCTCCAACAGGACATCAGGGTGGAGGTGGGGTAGTGTGAGGACATCAGGGTGGAGGTGGGGCAGTGAGAGGAAATCAGGGTGGAGGGGGGGTAGTGAGAGGACATCAGGGTTGAGGGGGGGTAGTGAGAGGACATCAGGGTGGAGGTGGGGTAGTGAGAGGACATCAGGGTGGAGGGGGGGTAGTGAGAGGACATCAGGGTCGAAGAGATGGTGAGAGGACATCAGGGTGGATGGGGTAGTGAGAGGACATCAGGGTGGAGGTGGGGTAGTGAGAGGACATCAGGGTGGAGGGGGGGGGGTAGTGAGAGGACATCAGGTCGGAAGAGATGGTGAGAGGACATCAGGGTGGAAGAGATGGTGAGAGGACATCAGGGTGGATGGGGTAGTGAGAGGACATCAGGGTGGAGGTGGGGTAGTGTGAGGACATCAGGGTTGAGGTGGGATAGTGAGAGGACATCATGGTGGAGGTAGGGTGGTGAGAGGACATCAGGTTGGAGGTGGGGAAGTGAGAGGACATCAGGGTGGAGCTGGGGTAGTGAGAGGACATCAGGGTGGAAGAGATGGTGAGAGGACATCAGGGTGGATGGGGTAGTGAGAGGACATCAGGGTGTAGGTGGGATAGTGAGAGGACATCATGGTGGAGGTGGGGTGTTGAGAGGATATCAGGGTGGAGGTGGGGTAGTGAAAGGACATCAGGGTTGAGGTGGGGTAGTGAGAGGACATCAGGGTGGAGGTGGGGTAGTGAGAGGACATCAGGGTTGAGGTGGGGTAGTGAGAGGACATCAGGGTGGAGGTGGGGTAGTGAGAGGACATCAGGGTGGAGGTGGGGTAGTGAGAGGACATCAGGGTGGAGGTGGGGTAGTGAGAGGACATCAGGGTGGAGGTGGGGTAGTGAGAGGACATCAGGGTGGAGGTGGGGTAGTGAGAGGACATCAGGGTGGAGGTGGGGTGTTGAGAGGATATCAGGGTGGAGGTGGGGTAGTGAAAGGACATCAGGGTTGAGGTGGGGTAGTGAGAGGACATCAGGGTGGAGGTGGGGTAGTAAGAGGACATCAGGGTGGAGGTGGGGTAGTGAGAGGACATCAGGGTGGAGGTGGGGTGGTGAGAGGATATCAGGGTGGAGAGAGGATATCAGGGTGGAGGTGGGGTAGTGAGAGGACATCAGGGTGGAGGTGGGTAGTGAGAGGACATCAGGGTGGAGGTGGGTAGTGAAAGGACATCAGGGTGGAGGTGGGGTAGTGAGAGGACATCAGGTCGGAGGTGGGGTGGTAAGAGCCGCAGATCAGAACCAAACCGTCCCACAATCACAGTTTATAAACTCTCTCAACTCAAACGTGTCACTCCCAACACTCTAGTTTATTTCATGCCACACTTTGTAAGTTGCATGAACATTCTAACAACAGTGATTCATAAATCTATCACGGAATCACTCCCAAGGCCTCGTGAAGGAGGACAGTAAATTAATTCTGCAATTGCCGATCCCAAACAGTAGGGGGTACTGGCTTGCTAGATACATGATAACTTGAAGACTGATAGGAGCAAGACCACAACGGAAACCACAAACAAAGGCATCAATTTTAACTCAAGGAGCAAACATACTTAACTACGTTGCTGTCGCTGTTTACTCTCTAGCTTGGCAAAATATATTGAATACACAGGACACTTAAATAACGATATTTGGTCCAGGATATAACCTTGCAAGTGACACAGGTGCTGATTAGTCAGTCATATCTCACCCGCCAATCAAAGGTGATATTGACCACTATGGGTATGAAACTGACATCACTTTGTCTTATAAAGTTGCACTAGCACTTCATGTGCTTAATATTTGGGTATTAACACATTAAAGGGTTTTAGGTATTTCTTTTGTGAATGTATATCATACCATACAGTACATAAGACAATGACAAGTTTCCTGTGATATACACACACAATTTACAAGAATATGAAATCGGATAGAATTATTGAAAGCCTTCTGAGAAGGTGAAACTGAAATTGATATTTACATGCTTATTGAAATTGTTGATGCTGAAGTTTTGATGAGAATTTCTCTGACATGGGGAAAATGGGGGGGGGGGGGGGAGAGAGAGAGGAGGGGGGGGGGTTGCGGGTGTGGTGGGGGGGGTTCAGGGGTAGGAGGGGGTGACAGAGATGGGGCAGGGGAGTGATCTATATGTTGCAATCCAGTGTACACTTACATTATTTTACGCTTGGCTCTCACGTCAATCTGTCAAGCCAGGATATGATTTAAACATTTTTATTTTGTATAAATGACACCTGGACTGGTAAACAAGGAAGACTGTTTAAGTAAATATCACTCCAGGAATACAATTTACAATAATAGTAAAATAAACATATTAATGTTAAACATAATCAAACGACAATACAGGAAATTAAAGTTGGCATTTATGGTATCTGGGCAAGAACCATTGCAGTTTAATATTTTACAGAAATTATCTTTCTATTTTTTTAAACAAGCTATGATATAACTGAAAGACTGTTCAAAGTGGCATTAAACAGGAAATAACTCCTTAAAACGTGTATATTTTTTGTCTGTCTTTTCACAAACACTACAAGACCTTTACAATCCAGGGACAAGTTGCCACTGTATTCATGGCTACTGCTACCATTAATGTTTAAAAGTGCACATTTATGAAAATGAAAAACTAAAATACCTTGACAGTAATAATTGCATATATCCTCAGAATGTCATATCAAATTCTATGCCAGCAGTCATGCCTCCATATATATATAACTGTACTCTTGAAAATCACATGCGTGAAACCGGTTGCGTAAATTATACAGCTCACCTTTGGACTTTTGTATTCTATGTATGTATGTATGTATGTATGTATGTATGTATGTATGTATGTATGTATGTATGTATGTATGTATCCATGTATGTATGTATCCATGTATGTATGTATGTATCTATCTATCTATGTATCTATCTATCTATCTATCTATCTATGTATCTATCTATCTCCCACCCTCCTGCCCCACCATGGGCTGCAATATATCTATTCATATCAACGAAAAACAAGTCTTAAATATTCAATGGCATGCATATCTGATGTTAATTGATTATGTTAAATAGCCTTCCAATGGCTACAACATGAATCACATTAATACGTTCCTCAACATATGACCTTTATTCTGACACAACTCTGTCCTCTGGATTTGTCAAGACCACTTTTCCTCATTTAAAATACAACAAAATGTATTACTTCACACACTTATATCATGGAATAATTTTCAATAGTGGTCATAGCAATTTATATCAGCGTTAATCCGGCAGTATTTTCCTCAAACCAAAACATCATAATCTATATCATATGACATGCTTACATCATGTTTTTCTAAATCTGTCAGCGCAATTTACGACCAGGGCGATTACATTCGAGCCAAGCTGAGTCGCTTTGTTGCGAGAATGTAACGTGGTTCTGGTTATGATATACCTTTAATCCTAAACATAATATTGTTTCTGGCACACTGCTAAATCTGCGGATCATGATGGACCAATACAGGTACTTAGCTCATGGCCAGGGGAGTGATATTGACGTGTAATCGACACTAGCTTACACAATGTGGCAGTCAGGAGTTTCAAAGTTATATTCATTAATTACACCCCAGTGGCTTGTTTTGATCAACTTACAGGTGTTAGATTGTGGGCAGTGCTGAGATTGATTTACAAATGACCTTATGAACTTAATACATCTGACTCGGGATGAAGGGAGCAATTAGTAGATGAGCTTATGAGTATGAGCAGAGCTGGGTGTCCGGATCTACTGGTCATCTGTTGTCTTGCAGTTAGTATAATTTCAAAACAGGGGAGGGGTGGGTGTGCAGGTGCTTGGAGCCTGGGTACTGCGAGAGGTGTGGGGGTGGAAGGTGCGAGGTCGGGTGAGCAGGAGCTTGGAGCCTGGGTAATGGGAGAGGTGTGGGGGGTGGAAGGTGCGAGGTCAGGTGTGCAGGAGCTTGGAGCCTGGGTACTGTGGGAGGTGTGGGGGCTGGAAGGTGTGAGGTCAGGTGCGAGGTGCAGGAGAATGTGCGCATGCGTGTGATTGGGTAGGGGGGGGGATCAGTTGGTTGTGGTGGCAGGGGGTCAGTTGGTTGTGGTGGCAGGTGGGGGGCAGTTGGTTGTGGTGGCAGGGGGTCAGTTGGTTGTGGTGGCAGGGGGTCAGTTGGTTGTGGTGGGAGGGGGGCAGTTGGTTGTGGTGGGAGGGGGTCAGTTGGTTGTGGTGGCAGGGGGTCAGTTGGTTGTAGTGGGAAGGGGGCAGTTGGTTGTGGTGGGAAGGGGGCAGTTGGTTGTGGTGGGGGGGGCGGGGGTCAGTTGGTTGTAGTGGCAGGGGTCAGTTGGTTGTGGTGGCAGGGGTCAGTTGGTTGTGGTGGGGGGGGCGGGGGTCAGTTGGTTGTGGTGGGAGGGGGCAGTTGGTTGTGGTGCCGGGGGCGGGGGTCAGTTGGTTGTGGTGGGAGGGGGCAGTTGGTTGTGGTGGGAAGGGGGCAGTTGGTTGTAGTGGCAGGGGGCAGTTGGTTGTAGTGGAAGGGGTCAGTTGGTTGTGGTGGCAGGGGTCAGTTGGTTGTGGTGGGAAGGGGGCAGTTGGTTGTAGTGGCAGGGGGCAGTTGGTTGTAGTGGCAGGGGGCAGTTGGTTGTAGTGGCAGGGGGCAGTTGGTTGTAGTGGCAGGGGGCAGTTGGTTGTGGTGGCAGGGGTCAGTTGGTTGTGGTGGGGGGGCGGGGGTCAGTTGGTTGTGGTGGGAGGGGTCAGTTGGTTGTGGTGGGGGGGCGGGGGTCAGTTGGTTGTGGTGGGAGGGGGCAGTTGGTTGTGGTGCCGGGGGCGGGGGTCAGTTGGTTGTGGTGGAAGGGGGGCAGTTGGTTGTGGTGGGAAGGGGGCAGTTGGTTGTGGTGGGAAGGGGGCAGTTGGTTGTGGTGGGAAGGGGGCAGTTGGTTGTGGTGGGAGGGGGTCAGTTGGTTGTGGTGGGAAGGGGTCAGTTGGTTGTGGTGGGAGGGGGGCAGTTGGTTGTGGTGGGAAGGGGTCAGTTGGTTGTGGTGGGAGGGGGGCAGTTGGTTGTGGTGGGAGGGGGCAGTTGGTTGTGGTGGCAGGGGGGCAGTTGGTTGTGGTGGGAGGGGGGCAGTTGGTTGTGGTGGGAGGGGGGCAGTTGGTTGTGGTGGGAGGGGGGCAGTTGGTTGTGGTGGGAGGGGGGCAGTTGGTTGTGGTGGGAGGGGGGCAGTTGGTTGTGGTGGCAGGGGGGCAGTTGGTTGTGGTGGGAGGGGGGTCAGATGGTTGTGGTGGGAGGGGGGCAGTTGGTTGTGGTGGGAGGGGGGCAGTTGGTTGTGGTGGGAGGGGGGCAGTTGGTTGTGGTGGGAGGGGGGCAGTTGGTTGTGGTTGGAGGGGGTCATTTGGTTGTGGTGGGAGGGGGGCAGTTGGTTGTGGTGGGAGGGGGGCAGTTGGTTGTGGTGGGAGGGGGGCAGTTGGTTGTGGTGGCAGGGGGGCAGTTGGTTGTGGTGGGAGGGGGGTCAGATGGTTGTGGTGGGAGGGGGGCAGTTGGTTGTGGTGGGAGGGGGGCAGTTGGTTGTGGTGGGAGGGGGGCAGTTGGTTGTGGTGGGAGGGGGGCAGTTGGTTGTGGTGTGTGGAAGGGTGGATAGATGTAGGGCTGTGTGATTGTGGAGTACAATAAAGTTCTTACAGTTTCTTACTGCCTAACTGTACATCTGATCACATACCTGTACAGTACACCTACACCTATACATGTGGTCTACGTGTACACAAAACTATTGTAGCAACTATAAAGACTAATTCCTCTTTTTACCTTATTGTTTGTTTGTTTTTAACGCCACACTCAGCAATATTCCAGCTGTATGACAGCAGACTGTAAATAAATAGTCTGGACCAGACAATCGAGTGATTTTCTTCATGAGCATCGATCTACGCATTTGTGAAACGATGGCATGTATCAACCAAGTCAGCGAGCCTGACCACCCAATCCTGTTAGTTGCCTCTTACAGCCAGCATGGGTTGCTGAAGACCTATTCTACCCCGGATCTTCACGTGATTAGTCTTATCAGATGTGGTTGAAGAAAATAACAGGACTTCATGTCTGTGAAACAAGACAAGGGACGGTGATGCTGTGGCCGAGTGTACGAACTGGATGAGGCTCGCTGACTCATCCTCATCAGAAGGAGGCTCTTCCTCTTGCCCTTCCCTTCCACGTCCGTCCTTCTGAACGAGATATGAATAAGCAGGGATGTCAATACATGTGAACAACATCCAATCACCCAGTGGCAACCAGCAATAAACGTGTTTCACATCACATTGTCACGTCCCTTTCATTTGGTTTCACAAAAAAAATCCCAAAACCAGACCCCTCCCCCAAACCCCACCCCTCCCCCCAAACCCCACCCCTCCCCCAAACCCCACCCCTCCCCCCAAACCCCACCTCTCCCCCCAAACTCCACCTCTCCACACTTTTACATTCAGAGATCACGGACCCAGTTTAAAAAGCCATCAAAACAAACACCTCTCGACTTTTGTCAATGAATGGCTCTTTTTATGTAAGCGAGTCACGAAATGGCTTAGCAGGGTAGTGAAATTAACATGAAATATACGTCACTTTTTACACAACCAATAATCCTTTTAGCATTCACTCTCCATTATAATCAGTGTTCAAATAACTTTAGCCAAGTCAAGATACTCTCAAAGCCCAAAATCCACAAAATGATTCTGTCCTGGCTCATTAAGCCCTGACTGGAGGGAAGGTAAGTAAGAGTAATGTACAATCCCAAATTTAAAATTTGCTGTATATATTTATCTATCGATGACCCTTTTAGATTGAGAGCACAATATGTTTGGAGTGGACAAGTCAACATGGAGCTCGAGTGTCGGGACAAACGTAGAGATGGAGCTGTCCACTTGTCCACAGAATAGAGACTGGTTAGAGTTAATACAGCTGACATGCTGAATCTATTGTGTGACACGCTCTGGGGCCCTGTTCTCAACCCTGACTCAAGGTGCTGGAAGGCCAAAGGTTATTGGTTGTGGGAAAGAGATTTTCCCTATGTCAAAGACTTGTGTTAGTTGGTTAATTGGTTTGTTGTTTTATGCCGCACTCAGCGATATTCCAGCTATATGAAGGCGGTCTGTAAATAATCGAGTCTGGACCAGACAATCCAGTGATTAATATCATGAGCATCGACCAAGTCAGCTAGCCTAACCACCCGATTCTGTCAGTCGCCATGAGTTGCTGAGGACCTATTCTAACCCGGATCTTCACGGGGCCAAAGACTTGTGTTGAAGGTTGGGTTAAAGATTATGATTTAGATTGTTGTGAAAATTGTGTTGAAGGGGATGAAGTTTGTGTCGAAGGTTGTGTTCGTCGATGTGTTTGAGGTTGTGTTGGATGTTGAGTTGGTGGTTGTGTCGAAGGTTGTCTTGGTGGATGTGTTGGAGGTTGTGTTGGATGTTGTGTTGGATGTTGTGTCAAAGGTTATGTTGGTGGTTGTGTCAAAGGTTGTGTAGTTTGTTGTGTTGAAGGTTGTGTGGTTGGTTGTGTCGAAGGTTGTGTTGTTGGTTGTATTATTGTGTTGGTGGTTGCGTGAAAGGTTGAGTTGGTGGTTGTGTCGATGGATGTGTTGGAGATTATTGCAATCTCTTTTGATGACTCTTTTCAACTGATTACCGCTTTCTCGTCTAAATTTCTTGAGCAGTGCAGGATAATATTTGTCATGTTTTGGATTAGATTTCCCAAGTCAAACAGACTCGGATACCAAACATATTTATACTTCACAACTGTGATGTTTGCGCTTGCTCAAGAATGTTTGGGGTGGTGGTTAAAGCGTTCTTTCATCACTCCAAAGGCCTGAGTTCGAATCCCACATGAGTAAAATATGTGAAGCCCATTTCCTATGCCCCCTGCCATGATACTGATGGAATATTGATAAAAGCAGCATAAATTCTCTCTCACTCACTTATTCAATCACTTGACCATACTGTCCCTTGCGTCCACACAGAAATACCAGATTACCTTCTAGTTAAGTCAGGTTTCTGAACACAGCCATGTCACCCAAGATTAATAACGTCTTTATGGTACACATAACACTCTCTAACGTTCTCTACTGGACTTGTGCCAAATGCTTGCGCGACCTTTCCTAAGGTCAATGACAGGCTTAGGGGGTGGGGCAGTGAAAGTAGATATAGTGTGATATATCATACCTACGTGCATCATAAACACTGTCTACACACCAGACTCTCTGTTGAGGTGTACATCTTGTGCTATATGCGATGTCAATTTCAGATGAAAACAATCACGCATCATTAATAGGGCATTTGGAATAAACAATTTATTAGACACAGAAAGAAAAATTACAAACTTTTATTTTTGTATCTTTGGCAACATGCATCATGTTAACTTCAGAAGAGAACAAGGATATTAATTCGATCAATCTTTTTTGAAAATTCTCAATACTGTTGTTTGTTTGTTGTTTAACGCCGCACTCAGCAATATTCCAGCTATATGACGGCAGTCAGTAAATAATCGAGTCTGGACCAGACAATCAAGTGATTGATCATGAGCATCGATCCACACAATTGGGATCGATAACATGCATCAACCAAGTCAGCGAGCATGACCACCCGATCCCATTAGTCGCCTCTTACGACAAGCATTGTCGCTAATTCTCAATACTGAAAGGCTACAAGCCCATAGTATATAAATTAAAAAGTATAAGAGAGATTGTAAATACAAATTACTTTCTAACTGACATCGTAAACAATCTCTTATTTTGGGTGTATCATTGAGCCTCCGAGTTCAATCATCAATCTATGTGATCTACGTCTATATTTCGATAGTGGCGTTCTAAACATTCTCAGGATCACACTCATTAATTAACTTTCAGTAGATAATAGCTTTCAGTAGATAATAGCTTTCAGTAGATAAAAGCTTTAAGTAGATTATGGCTTTAGGTAGATAATAGCTTTCAGTAGATAATAGCTTTCAGTAGATTATAGCTTTCAGTAGATAATAGCTTTCAGTAGATAATAGCTTTCAGTAGATTATCATTTTCAGTAGATAATAGCTTTCAGTAGATTATAGCTTTCAGTAGATAAAAGCTTTCAGTAGATTATCATTTTCCGTAGATAATAGCTTTCAGTAGATTATAGCTTTCAGTAGATTATAGCTTTCAGTAGATAAAAGCTTTCAGTAGATTATAGTTTTCAGTAGATAATAGCTTTCAGTAGATTATAGCTTTCAGTAGATAATAGCTTTCAGTAGATTATCATTTTCAGTAGATAACAGCTTTCAGTAGATAATAGCCTTCAGTAGATTATAGCTTTCAGTAGATAAAAGCTTTCAGTAGATAATCATGATTTGTATAACTTAAAGTAGCAATATTTATTTGATGAATCAACAATAGAAGTAGACTGTTGGATGTAAATATCAATAGTTTGTGTTAGTGACAAAAAAACCTTGTTTTTTGGTACACATTGATAGTTCAATACATAACTGTAACCACATGTACAGAGGAAGTTCTCTACATGATAAGCCCTGTTCTTGGATCCATGACTCTCATACCACATCATATTGTCACATTTCCGTGGTAATCAGTAACACTGCATCTTAAATATTTTCAACCAGTATTTAATAACTGTAATATTATTTCCATACATGTCTGGGTTTGTTTTTGTAGTAAATAAAATCCAACTTTATGTTGTCCACATTAATCCGCATGTATATCCAAGGATATTTTTCTGATATAACACATCCACCATGCATCAACTTGATATGATAAATCTCTTTTATACACTATAATTGTCAATTTTTTTATGAATATTGTTGGAAAAATGATTTTATTACCATAACACGGCAATTAAAAAAAAACATGTTTCATTTAATTCAAATCCTTTTTCTGACACTGACAGAGGCATGCTCATGCAAAACATGTCCATTATTCAAGTAGTCAAATAAATTCGGCAAATATGAGGTAAAATGTAGTCTTTTTGTCCAACACATCCGACAGTTATCATAATTCACAAGCAAAAAATGACAAGTTGATATGACTTTGTGCTTTAATATATATATAAGCTGTCACATAATAAAATAATAAAATTGCAAAACAATCTTGCCTATCCTGTTTTTGACACAGCTGAACATCATAATGGAATGATAGACAGTTGTATCTTTCTTTGTATATTTCACTCTTGAGGGGTGGGGGCAGAGGATGGGGGGTGGGGAGGGGTGTTTAGGTGGGGGTGTTATAGGAATGTTATACCAGTGCACACTGCCCAACAACAATGTTGATACTTTATCTATGTCATAAAACATATGAAAGGGAGTGTTGCACCACTCATAGTCAAGGTTATATTTCCGATGTTTTTTTAGACTCTGCCCTTCAGGCATTGTTATCATGTGATTCATCCCAGGAGATATACCTTACAAAAAATGAAATTCTTCTTTCAAAGAAATGATTTCGATATTTAATTCTCCAGTTAAGATTAGAGAAATGTTTTTTGGTGGATTTTTTCAAATATGATTTCATACCTACCAATATGTGTTTGCACATGTATATACACTAAATCTAAGAAATAAGGGAACGGCTATCATGGGAACGTGTGTTTGGTATAATGGGAGATTGTTGTGCAATGTAGGAATCATTACTAGCTGAAACATCTACTTTAGATAAATATATTACCTCTAACCTTTAGCATAACTTTATCTCTATTATTTCCTCACATGCATATGATACCTTATATAAAATATCTATTTTTCTTACTAAAGCTCATCAACTTAGGGTAAATAGTAAATAATCCACTGCAAATAAGTAAAAAAATGTTTTTAATTTTTTTTTTTTTTTTAAATAATGTAAATTTCCCAGTTTGTAAATTTGTCATTTTGCGCAGGCTTTATGTATTCCTGCATATGTATGTATTTTGGGCCAGTTATTATTGAATAAATTGTCCGTCTGTCTGTCTGTCTGTCTGTCTGAAACATCTACAGGGATACCTGGTATGTCTTGGCCCTGTTAGTCTGGAACTCCTGCTTTGTGGACAATTGCTGCTGTGCACATCTCAGTGCTAAATTTCCCCTCTAGTTGAGCTAAATTTCCCCTCTAGTTGTGCTAAATTTCCCCTCTAGTTGTGCTAAAGTTCCCTCTAGTTGTGCTAAAGTTCCCCTCTAGTTGTGCTAAAGTTCCCCTCTAGTTGTGCTAAACTTCCCCTCTAGTTGTGCTAAACTTCCCTCTAGTTGTGCCAAACTTCCCCTCTCAAGATATAAC